CCCCTCCCCCCGCCTTTTCAAGTCTGCAACTCTCATTGACTATTTAAGATAAGCAAATTCTCTATTCCTTTGCATATTTATATCTATGTAATTGTGTATTAATCTTTGAACTGTATGTAATAAATAAGGACATATTAAATTTTTGGTGTATTGCTTTATAAGTGTTGTGGTGATGAAGACAATGTTTGTTTCTCTTCAAATATTTTGTCCTACTTAGGTTTATTTTTTACTGAGAAACTTTTGTCAATTTATTAATTATTATAGCTTATGATTATATGCTTATTATAAAATAAATTATATTTATCAGTAAAATGATCTTATCTAAGCACAATTGTATTTAAAATAAAATGACAAATAGAATATTTTGTATTTGAATCGATGTGGAATCTAAAATTTTGAAGAAATTACGCCCTTAGGCAGTTCTAAGATTATTTAAGTCATTTTAATAGAAAAAGAGCTTATCAGTATTTTTTTATCAAATACTGCAGCAACTTATTATCAATTTCAACACTTGTACCCAAACACGTAACTGCTTATTTATTAAATCAGTTTCAGCACTTAAAAGTACTTTTCAGCACCTAATGCTTATCAGCTAATTCAAATCAGCTAATCTAAGGGCTCTTTATCTCATATGAAAATCTCTGAGTATCATCTCGTCGATGATTTGATGTTAGCATATTATCTATATCAGCCTTAGTATCACACCAATCCAACAATATTGGCCCGACAACTGTGCATGTAAAAAACAGGATATGTTATTCATGTCTACTGACCAGAGGAATGAGAATATAGTCTTTGATCTTGCTTGATTGAGAATTGGTTACAAATGTACTCAACATTCTTATTTGGTTCACAACTTCGATTTCTGTTTTTAAAGACTTCCAAATTTTGTAAATATGATTTATGATGACGAATTTGGAGCACGTGACATGTTAGGGTCCTTGGGGAGAAAAATAGGAAGAAAAAACAATAAAAGTTATAAATGTAAGAAATCATGAAGTAAAGAAGCATGATCTACGTTAAAATTTGAAATTATTTTATCTTGTATTTGATTGAATTCTTATTTTCAATATAAGCAATGCTAAAATTGTCTTATACCATAATTCTAATTAGGGGTGTACAAATGAAACCGACAAACCGCACCAAACCGATAATCCGAGTCAAAACCGAGAAAAATAACCCGACTATGATTTGGTTTGATTTGGTTGGGTGTTGGAAGAAAAAAACCCGACCATATTTGGTTTGGTTTGGTTTTAACTAAAAAAAGTCAAACCGAAACCAAACCAATCCGACATTATATGTATAGAAATTTTAAATATATTTAATACATAAAAATATTTATTGTAGTATAGTTTATAAATATTTCTTAAGCTTTTTCATATTTTTATCTTTTCACTTATTATTTCAAGTTTGGACTTATAATTTTTGGATGTTCCAACAAGTATTATAGTCCATAAATGTTAGTAACTCAAATAAATCCTAAACCAATATCAAATGAATACTAATATTAATAAAAGACATTCAATTCAATTGTACTATGAATGAAAATAGTGTTCGATATCTATTTTTTTAGTTTTTCTGTGGTTTAGATAGAATGCATAACTTATTTTTCTTTTAGTGTTTAGTCGTGTAAATAATAGTACTTGGTCGTACTTATTTTAGCAACTTATTAGTACTTTTAGATTATGTTTTTTCCTTATGCCCTATTAATAATACTTATTTTATGCGATTTTATTATCTTTATTATTTAATATTTTAGTACAATGTCACGAATCATCTCATATTTATGTTACTTTATTAAAAACACATTATATAGATCTATATAAGAACTATATTATGTTATCTTACTAGGATTAAAGAAATATTTGGAGCACAAATTCTGTATGTTGTGTTATGAAGACTTTATGGAAAAAACCCGAAAAATCCGAAAAACTGAGATTGAAAAACCCGACTCTTATTGGTTTGGTTTGGTCTTTAGATTTAATAACCCGATACAATTGGTTTTTGTTTACCTCGAAAATACGAGTAACAATTAAACTTGTTTGTGGTTTTAAAGATACGTGATTTTGTTCAATACTAATTAATAACTAAGGAATCAAACGTATAAATTAGAGAAGAAAGTTGAATCAAACCTGTGCTTAAGCAAGTCTTGACCTCGAGCTAGATGGCCTCGAGGTAGGTCAGCAAGAACAGTAAAGTAAAGACAATAAAGTTAAGAGACAATTCTGATGAGTAATGAGTAAGAAAGTAAGAGAATATATTCTTTTGCCAATGATTGATGATGTTACAAATGATTGGGGTCCCCTTTATATAGTAGGGGAACCCAACAATAAGGTACATTTCTATTTACAGTAAGGAATCTGATTGGGCCAGCTGTCTAACCGTCTAATACGGATTCGTACTAACTCGTACAAATCTATTCCGGAATTTACGCCATGATCTTGGGGATGTTGAGGGAATCTTGCTCTTTCTGTTACAAACACATAACGGTGTTATCTCGAGGTTGGCCATACTCGGCTCCGATGTTTCTCGAGCACTTAGATCTTCGAGCCTCATATTCTGCCTTCGAGCTCGGTCTGTATTGAACTTGTTCTCGATGTGACCTCTCGAGCCTACAAAATTGGGGACATATAATTTTGACCGTATACAGATAGTCCCCGCATTTCTTAGAATAATATAATAATAAGCAACGACTTGAGCCTCGATTTATCCGGAGTCCTTGATGATGACGTCATTCCTGTGACGTAGGCGCTCGAGGTGACCGAAATGTCCCGTCGGTTCGCTTCCCTAAAACATTAAATGCTTGACCAGTGGCGATCGGCCATTAGCGCCGTCGGATCGTCGCCGCTTGCCTATAAATACAAGGTTCAATTTTGAAAAAACTTTACTTCAATCTTCATTCCACTTCTAAATTCCTTTTATATCTCCCTCTCTTCATCTCTTCTCTCTTATTACTCGTTATTCTCGTTCTTTTAGTGCTAGAAAATATAAAACTCCGCCCATCTCCACTCCCTTTAGTTTGAATCAATGACGAAAACTTCTAAAATTGTTCCTCAAAAAGAGAGAGCTTCCTCCTTCTCTTCCCTGCCGGCCGGTGATAAAGCGCCGGCCCTTCACAAGATCATTCCCGGCCTTTGCGTTATAAAGAAAGACTTCAGAGTTAAAAATCCCCCCCCCCCCCCGCGATTCCTGGTCGATGCGAGCATGTATCGAGATATGTTCTGCAGCGGTTTCTTGGATGCCCCATGCGATCCACGAACTCGATGATTGTGTCTGAAAATTAGCCGCGACCTCCACATATAATGAGCGCAAATGGCGTGACTTGTCGAAAGGCAAATGGGAGGCCAAACACCATGGTAACTCCTTCCCCCAAGTTTTTGATGCTTTACTGGATATGTCACCTTACTCATGCCTGTTCTTCATTCATGTAGGTATTGGAGATGCCTTCGAAATGAGGCCAGCCCTGCCCAGGAAAAAGACCGAGTCCCCGGTTCCAAAATCGGGGAAAGATAACAAGAGAAAAAGGGCTTTGAAACCCAAAGACCCCTAGGATAAGAGAGCCCCTGCTCGAAGGCAAAGGAGGAAACTCATTCAAGTTCACATAGACTC